AGGCGAACCCTGCTCCCCCTCCGGTGGCGGAGCTGGGCTCTGACCCCCGCCCCCTGCCCGGGAGCCTCCGGCCGGGCCAGTTCCCTGGTGGCTGTGCCGGGCCCTGGAGCGCAGCGCCTCTGACCGCCCGGCCCCAGCGCTTCCGTTGTCTCCAATGTGCCCCCCCACACCCGCTTTCCCGGTCGGGGATCTCTTCCCCGATGTGGAGTGCGAGCCGCGGGAGGGGTGTGGTCCCCCCTGTGCGTGTGCTGGGCCCGCATCTCTGCAGCTTCTGCACTTGGGTGGGCATCGCCCCAGAGCGCCCCCCGCGGACCCTGCTCCAAGCTCTCATTTCCTTCGTTTCTTTTCTTTTTTAAAAAATACATTTTTATTGATTTCAGAGAGGAAGGGAGAGGGAGAGAGAGGTAGAAACATCAACGATGAGAGAGAATCGCTGATGGGCTGCCTCCTGCACGCCCCCCACTGGGGATGGAGCCTGCAGCCGGGCCTGTGCCCTGACCAGGAATCGAACTGCGAGAACTGCGACCTCCTGGTTCTTAGGTCAACACTCAACCACTGAGCCGTGGGGGCGGGGGCTGAGGCCCCTCGTTCCTGAGTTTTCATCATCAGGAAGGGCCGGTCAGGTGTCTGGTAGGGTCAGGTGGAGCTGGGACACTTTGACAAAAATAAATGCTGAGTCTCTATTTCCCACTCCCAAACCCTGGTATCTTGGGAGTAGGGGGTGTATTTTATATGCTAATGAGATGAGGGGCGGCTTGGAGCTGGTTCCCATTTCCATCCCCGACTCTGGGAGCCGAGAGGGAGTCGTCACCAGTGCCAGGGATCTAACCAGCCCTGCCCACCTAGTGACACCCGGAACTCCCCGGCGTCTGGCAGGCTGGTGACCACATTTTGATGCCGGGCGGGTGGCTGGCTGGAGCGGGCGTGGAAGCTCCGTGCCCCTTCCCATGCCTCACCACTGGCCGTTCCTAGTTGTATCCTTGATACGTTAACGTAAAAACACGCAAACCTGTAAAGAATTTTTGTGCTTTCATCTGAGCCAAACGGTCGACAGTTGCCAGGAAACAGGATCTCATCGGGTTGGGATAGTGCTGGGGAGAATGGAGGTTTCTCACCTATTTTTACACATTACAACCCCAGGAGGCGCTGTAGGGGCCTACAGAAATCCATGGTGATGGATTAGGGAGGCGGGAGAGGGCAAAGGGGGCGGGGAACCTCTGGGATTGGATAAGAAGTAAAATGATGGGCACACTCTTCTTTTACTTACTAGTATGTGGGTATGGGATGGTTAATAGTTACCGATTAACATGATAACAGGAACAGTGAAGGAATTCATGGTCTCCTGTCCTGGTGCCCGGGGCATTTGGTGGTGCCCTGAGGGCCTGGAAAAAAAGGAAGTTACAAGTTACCCTGACATTTTACCGTAGATGTTACCGTAGATGCTAAAAGACAGAAAGGTAGCCCTAGCCGGTTTGGCTCAGTGGATAGAGCGTCGGCCTGCGGACTCAAGGGTCCCAGGTTCGATTCCGGTTGAGGGCATGTACCTGGATTGCGGGCACATCCCCAGTGGGGCGTGTGCAGGAGGCAGCTGATCGATGTTTCTCTCTCATCGATGTTTCTAACTCTCTATCCCTCTCCCTTCCTCTCTGTAAAAAATCAATAAAAATAAAAAAGATAGTAAGGTAAAGGTTGACCTTGTCAGAGAAGATACCGGCCTAAGAGGTGACCACCCACCACAACTGCTTTTAGTTCAAGTTTGATTTCAGACCATCCCTGTGGTGACTTTAGGTCTCTGAGTTTGCAAGACCGCCATGCAGGCCTCCCCTGTGCTTGTCAGGGTAGCACGTGGCCCCTTTTGTCCACAACGAGCAGGTCTGCAGGAGGGGACAGAGGGCAGGGGTACCCCCTACGGGCACCCCACTCCCATCCATTGGTCACAACTGAATACCCTTGGTGTTTATGCCCAAGCAGGCTTAGCCGTCTGCTGGTGGAACTTGCTGCTTCCACCTGACCCCCATCATGTGGGTCTTTTTTGTCATTAAATCCTTTCTGCAGACCTCAAGGTGGTTCACGGGTAACGTTTCACAGTTTCCGGCAGCCCCCCCCCCCAAGACCTCACCTCCGCCTGGCCCGGCCCGCCCGCCTGCACAAGTTCATGTCTGCACAGGCTGCTTGGGGAGCCCCGAGGCCCCAGCTGCTCACTTCCCTGTTGAGCCTGGTTCCTCTCTTCACAGGCCTCCCGGACCCATCCCCACAGGCAAGAGGCCATGGGCGCTCAGTGGCCGCCCCGCGCCCGCCCCCTGCTGGGCACCTGCGCCCTCCTCTCCTTGGCCGCCGCCGCCCTCCTGGGGCACATCCTGCTCCACCAGTTGGCAGTGGTTCCCCAAGGGCTGTGTGGCTGCGCCCAG